AACTCATTCATGACTCATAAGGAAGAACAGAGACGCGAACTGGTGAACGCGTTCCTCAACGAGATTCTCCCTTTTAAACCGGATGTAATAGCGGGAGATCTCAATAATATTGCGTCGAGGCTCACCTTAAAAGGTGGAGACGTTCACCCGCGAAACAGTTTGTTTTCTCTATACCTGGAGAAGAAACTTGCAGCATTCAACAAAATAGCAGGAAGGCACTCACAAGTGCGACATCTTTGCTTGAACAACTCCGACCAGCACAGACTGGCACGTGCAGATCGTCTACCGGCGGACCCGGCGAAGAAAGTTGCTGACCTTGACTGTATCAACAGTTATATCCTTGACTGGAGTAAAACGCCGCACACGGCGTCACCTAGTCCAAGAGATGTTACACCTGCCGCCGAAAGAACATACTGGGAGCGAATCTCAGATATGTGGCAGGACATGAACAATAACAGGGATATTGATATCCGTCTGTTTGTCTCAGTCAAGCAGTACTATTCAACTTTTTCTAACCTTGACCTATGGTTGAGTCCCTCTGACAAAGATTGGCACAGCCCTTTGGGCTTCACGATACAACCAATCCTTACAAAAGGGAAACACAACCGGTCAGATGCCCAGGTTCAGAAGATCGCTGACAAGCGAAAGGCTTTCAAGCAGCGTAATGCTGAATACTGGGGTTACAAAGATTCATTCGTTTACTCATCCGGCAACAGCTGGTACGACAGATCGCAACCATCAGGTAGCCATCACAGATACGGAAGATTCTGGGAATGGCCACAGCCTGAACGTCCCAGCGAGCCTGAAGGTCCTCCTCCAAGAAGGAACCAGGAATCATCGTCCTCTTCACAACAAGATCTACCAAGATCAAGGTCCAGGCCTCAAAGAACCAATATTGTTGACAAGCTCAACATGTCTTTGGAAGAGCTGGATGGACTAGAAGAAGAACCGTCACCAACAAAAAGTGACATCGAAGAACACGAAAGAGAAACATCAAACTTGATGTCTGCTCAGAGAGATGAAGAGGAACAAGAGGACGAATCCTCCAGCCGGAGAAGAAGAAGGAAGGCATCGCGTCCACCGTCTGCTCCGAGCGGCAAGGCACTCAGAACAGCTGCTACAGCAGCGGGGTTGTCGGGCTGGTTCGGACACCGCAACCAAGGTGGAGCGAACGCAGAGTCTATCAAGACTGATGAAACTTCACTTCCAAACTCACTAACCAGTGAGCAGGACTTCTCCGTCTTCAGCATCGCGTGGAATGTGTTTCTGCTGCTAATGGGCTTACACTGGATGTGGAAGCAGATTACCAGGCCTCCTATCAGATGTATGGAGCGCCAACAACCAAAATCAAAAGCAGCAGCGAACCAAAGAGTTCCATTCCTCGAACCCGAGGATGAACCGCAGACGCGTGAACCTTTAGGACCCAACAGGGTCAATTCCGGAGAAACAACTGATCTGCGACCTATCTGGCATACTTCCCGAAGCGAAGTCTACCATCTCTCAGACAGCTGTTACCAGCTCAAGCAAGCAAGAGATGTTTGCAGGAAGGTGCTGTGCAAAAACTGCCTCCATGCAGTACAAGTTGCGGAGATTCGCAGGAACGATCCTTTTCAAAGAGGTGATACACGTCCACGTGGCACCGAAAGAGACATTGAGCGCTTCCAGACCTACGATGATGCAAGTACCACTCCTCATATGACGCAATTATTCAAAGATGCATTGCATGCACAAATGGCCGAAGAAGCCATGCAGATTACCTATACATCGATCCCCAAGGGATCCTCGGCAAAAGCCAAAGGTACATCTGCACTCTCAAGTGCCGCATCGTCGTCAGCGCCCAAGGCAATGCCACCAGTGCCTAACAAGGCAAACATGTCACCTCCACCTAAGAGTCCTCCGCCAAAGGCGAAAGGAACAGTACCTTCAGATCCTCCGAGACCAAAAGGTCCTACCAGAAGAGGAGGTCAAAATCGGCGCATTCAACGAAAGGCAGCCAGAGAAGCCCACAACAGTGGACTCTGCACCTATGCAGACGCTGCACTTAACGAAGCCAATCAAGGCCAGGCAATTAACATTACGTGCCGAAACATGGCAGCAAGACACGTCAGCTCTATCGATGCAACGGTAGAAGCAGCCGATCAGTTTACACAACGCGTGCTACAGCACGTAGAAACATATGATGAAGAGGAACCGTGGAGCACGGAGTTTCTACCAGTCGTGGAAGTCCTATTCAGGAACTTAAGCGGCGACGAAACAACTGTCATACATGACAATCAAACGGTAACTATGCCTCTTACGAAATACACAGACCTCCTCAGAATCGCACAATCATTGCGAAGCTCTATCCAGAGAGACAAGGAGGAAAGGAAGGAACATCTTGACACCATCCAAGATACTCTATCCAGAGTGGAAATCCTTCTAACAGCACTGAAGGACTCAAGGACAGTCTTTAACCAATTGGTCCATTCCTCACTAGAGATAGAGCGAAGAAATAACAATCTCAAAAATGTCCTCGAGACACTCTTTGACGACCAAAGCTCTGAGGAAGACCAGTCAGAATCTGACAATGAAGAAGTCCTAACTCCTTCTGCAGCACAGTACTGGAATAGCCTTTATGCCCACGCCTTATCTCCTTCAGGAGATGAAAGTGAAAGATCATGGGCGTCCTCAGACGGACAGCTTGAAAGAAGAAGGGCTGAACGGGCAAAGGCTAAGCAGCCACAACCGGCTAAAGCCAAGGCAACTCCAGTCAGCTCACAAGCTGCGCCAAAGGCCGAGCCAAAGGCGACAACATCCAACCATGGATATGATACTGCAGACGCCGCCTTCACCAGGGCTGAGAACAGACTACTCGGAATTTATTCAAGTTCCGAAGAAGATCACTCAGACCCGGATGAGCCACATCCGAACGTCTACGCTCGAGCCTATGATCCAAACCTGGATCCAAATCTGAGATAAGGAAAATCTCGGAGTTTCACAACAGTGACTCACAAAGCTCTAACAAGAGCAAAGTGAAGGGCTGCATAATTCGATGTAGAAAATATCACCAGACATGATCTTGTACAGACGATCTCTCTGACCAACATGCATGAGTGTGTGCAAAAGGAGTGTCCTCAGCAGTGTACTTCAGTGCTATACCTAGCTTAAATAATATGCTGTTTTCATCATGAGTCCAGACTCCGCAACTGTGACAGTGGGCATAATAGTATATGTGTGAATGTGCGGCCATGCTTCCGGTAAAAGAAAATTAGTGTCTGTTTGAAACCATAAACCTCTAAAGGGGTAGCTCTAACAGGTACCTACAGCAATGGCTGCATGCTCATACATATACATTCCGCTGCCCATTGGCTCACAGTGGTTTTACCATATTGAGACAAGACAAGCTCTCCTTGCGTAGCAAGACAAAACAACTACTGTCCGTGTGCAGGGCGCTGCCCTTTGATCCTTAGGGAATAACTGGTCATACACCTCCTAACAAGGAGTATTCCTTGTGGGTGTATAGGCACAGGGGGAGGGGGGGATACCATGGGGTGGGGGGGGAGCGCTGCACCATACATAGACGCACATGCACATACATCTACAAATACATGCGTGCATGCGTACATACATTGATGCATACTCCTGCATGTACCTAAATCAGACACTGGGCAACGGGTGCAAACCGGTCTATATGGCGTTTCAGGAACAGCAGCCCCGTGACATTGCTAACTGCATCGGAGCGCTTGCTGATGCGTATTTTAGGAATCCGGGTGGAGGACGTTCGGTTTCGACTTCAGGGTCTAATTGCAAGGTAATTGCAGTTAAGACCAGATAAGATACTACAACATAACAAGCCTATGCATCGAAGGACCTTATAGTTAGGGCCCTAGAACCCTTAAGGAGCCAATAATCAAGTCCAATAATCTAGGCCCTGGAAGCAAAGGGATAAGATATTGCACTTGAGTTCACAGTCTTGAGGGTTAGGCCCGCAATACAGGAGCCTGAATAATTACACTAAAGTTTTGGGGCCCATGATACTCTAAAAATAAGAAGGAACCCCCCAAATAGTATAGGTAATTATTAAGGCCCCTAGATTGACCTGTTGGACCTGAGACCTAGGCTTCAAGCGCGATTTGAAGACTGTGGTCTCGGTTTCCGGGGTTTAAGCTTTTTGGGTTCAGGCGTTGTGGCCTAGGATTTAGGGTTTAAGGTTAGGGGTTGTGGTTTAGGGTTTATAGGGTTTTGGGCTCAGGGGCTGCAGGGCTGTATAAGCAGAAGCCTGATACTTTGCGATACTCGGATGCACCACATTTAGGAAGGCTGTTTGATGAATTAGGGGTCTACTGCTACTATGGATCTCAAACCCAGCACACTCACCTCTGACCCCCGAAAGTCATCCAATCCCTACCTGTCCAGTAGGCAGTGAACTGGTGGGTTTATGGCTTAGGGTTTTAGGCCTGGGGCCTCAATTTATAGTCGTATATATAACCAGCCCGCAACGGTGAAGGGATACTCAGTAGTGACAGCAGTGGACAACTGATCACAACGTCATAGAAAGGTCTGTGGGGATTGCCCTAAAACTCGACCCTATATTTATTCAGGCTCTCATGCTAAACCCGAAAAAGCCTTTGCTAAACCATTGAAACCCCCAAAAATCCCTGTTGGAGGCCCGATCTTTGCGATAGAAGAACCCTATACAACCCGTACAAAAGCCCTTATCAGGCCCTCAAACAACCCTTCAAGAAGATCTAACCCCTAAACCCTCAACCCTGAGCCCTCAACTCTATGAACCCTAAACCCTCAACACTAAATCCTAAACCCTGAACCCTGAGCCCTCAACTCTATGAGCCCTAAACCCTCAACACTAAACCCTAAACCCTCAACCCTAAACCCTCAACTCTATAAACCCTAAACCCTCAACACTAAACCCTATAAACCCTAAACCCTCAACCCTAAACCCCATAAACCCCCAACCCTAAACCCTAAAACCAAAAAAAATACAACAAAGGATCACCAGAGGCCTCGGCAGGTTCTCTGGGATAAGAGCCGTGGCCACGTGCGCGGCGTAGTAGTCGCCGAAAGCTCCCGGGCCACCGAAGGGAGCCGGAGCCCGGGGGGATGAGACCTTTCGAAAAAGGATTAGGGTTTAGGGGATTGGGGGTGTAGGGTTTACGGGTTTAGGGGTTTTGCTTTCGAAGGCTTTGGGTTTTGTGGGCTTTAAGGTTTTTAACAGGGTTCCTTAAAGTTTAGGAGTTTAGGGCTTCCTTAGAGGCCTGCTTTTGAGGGCTTTGGGGGATTTTAGGGGTTGTAGGGGTTTTTAAGGGTTTAGGGGTTTAGGGGGTTTTAGGGCGTTTTAGGGGGGTGTTAGAGGTTTCCGGGGTTTTACTGGTTTTCGGGGTTTTAAGGAGAGTAGGGGTTTAAGGGGTTTAGGGAGTTTTAGGGTTTAGGGGTTTTAGGGGGCTTTGGGTTTTAGGGGCTTTAGGGTTTGGGAATTCCTTTGAAGGGATTTTCCTAAGGGCTCATTGAAGGGATTGGGTTTTAGGTTTGGGTGTTTAGGGTTTTGCGGTTTAGGGTAGTGGATTCCTTTTCCAGGATGCTCGTAAGGGCTTCTTTACGGCCTTCGGATACAAATCTTCTTCCCAAAGGGCCCTACAGTCTGGTGTAAGAGTCCTTTAAAGGGCCCTATAAGGTTACTACGAGGAATGCCTTCGTGCAGTTTTGGTCGTAAAGGAGCGTATTCAATCGTACCTCGCGAACAAGGAAACCATCAGGGTTCTTTCAGGAGTTGAGGAGGGCTGCAGCTTGAGGCCTGCTTTCTCGTGATGGTCGGTGGGTTTCGGACTTAAGGGGCTGGGGATTCATGGATTAAGGGCTTTTTGGGGGTTTGGGAGCATGGGGTTTCGGGACTAGGGTCGAGGGTCTGGGAAGAATTTCCTGCGTGGAGTTCCTTGAAGGATTGTTGAAAGGCTCTCGTAAGGACGTAAGGGTTTGGACTTAAGGTCTCTTCCCGCATTGACATTAGCCTATGGGTCCGTTAGTCATGCTGCCTGGCCCTTACTTCAAGAACCGAGAAGTCCATCATTGAAGCTTCACGATTAAGGTTTAGGGTTGAGGGTATAGTGTAGGGAACACCACCACAAGGTTCCAGATGCATCCCATGTATCCAAACGAGAATTCTGCGCCACCACATTGGAGCAACACATTGAGGACATCAGAAGAAGCTTGCGCAGCCTCCTCTCTTATCCTGTCTCGCCACCACCACCACCACCACTACCATAACAGCCACAGCAACACCAACATAACAGCATCAGCAACAGCAAGCGGCAGCCAGCAGTCAGCAGCAGCAGCAGCAGCAGCAGCAGCAGCGGCCGCCTTATGCCAGCAGCCTCTACCGGTGTACTCTTCAGGGCCGAGTTGGCAAGGCGACATTTGGCTTGCCCAAACGCTCCAGAATAACCCAAACAGCCCTACAAACGGTTGATGATATAAATTCTGCATTACCTTAAGGACCCTAAACTATGGGAACAACGCTATATTTCTTATTCTGGGTAATGCTGGATTCACCTCATCAACAATAGTACAGTATGATCTTTAGGCCCTAATGCGTTAACACATGAGCCCTTGGAAGCTGCATGAAACAGTTGCCTACCCTAGACTCAAAACCCTGAAGCCCCGTGACCACTGTACACAACCCCTAATCCCTAGACTCCCTAGACCTCTGAACGCAAAACCCCCAACCCAAAACCCCTAAACCCAAACTCCTAAACCCTAAACCCCTGAAGCGCAAGCCCTAAATCCTCAAGAACCCTCAATCCTAAAACCCTGAACTCCTAAACCCTAAACCCCCGAACCCTAAATCTCTAAGCCCTCAATGCTAAACCCCTAAGCCTCTGAACCCTAAAGCCTAAAAACTATACCCTAAGTCCTAAACCCCCGAACCTTTACAACCCCTGCCTTGTCTGGGCGGCGCGATTTCCTAACTTTGGACCCAGCCGCCCACTTCCCACGGAACTGTTCATAGAGCCTGCATCGTCTAGGGCCCAAACTAGCGAAGGGCTCTTCATTCATCTAGTAAACGCCTAGGTGAGGGAGATTGTCCAAGTGCGTTTGGTGTTTGCGACGGCGCTTAACCTTAAACACGTATATAAGGATTCCAAAAGTGTAATGCCGTGCGCTTTTCACTCTTTTGCCAAAACCGTATATAAGATTGTCTTGGTGAGAGTCTCAAGCAGACCAGCTTTCTTATTCCGAAATCCCCGATTAAGAAATTACTGATCGCTTCTGGGAAATGTTTATAATCAAAAGTCTTCAGTGTACTTGTAAACATATACAACCATCTTCACACAAACACACAGAGCTGCGCAGCTGCGAGGAAACTTCTATCCATGCATATCCAGATACTTGACTAGGTTCTAGAGTAATCTCCTGATAATAAAGGCACCCTTGTTGCTAATATTCGGTTTTATACGGGAACCCCAAACCAAAAAGGGCAAAAGGGTACTACTCAGGAACCTAGTAATCCCTAAACCCCCATAGATCCTTTATGGAACCCTTTATGTAAGGATCCCTGATCGAACCCTTTTACGGAACCCTTTAAGGAACCTAGTGGTCAAGGGATCTTGGAAGTTTTATTAGCAGAAGGGTACCACTACCCAGGAACCTAGTGATCCCTAAACCCCTATAGATCCTTTATGGAACCCTTATATAAAGGATCCCTTATTGGAACCCTTTAAGGAACCTAGTGGTCAAGGGATGTTGGAAGTTTGTTTCGCAAAAGGGCCCCACTGTAGATCCTTTATAGAACCCATTAAAGATCCCTTATAGAACCCTGTAAGGAAACTAATTAACCAAAAAGGGCAAAGGGGAACTATTCAGGAACCTGGTTGCAACGAGTCAGTAAGAGCCCTCCAAAGCCTCGGCAGCTCTGAAGGCATCAGAGCCGTGGCCACGTGGGCGGCGTAGTAGTCGCCGAAGGACCCGGGGGCCTCACTTGGTCTTTTCGTGTGTGCACATGTGACAAACATGAGTGGCCACAGCAAATACAAGGGTGGAGTTCGGGGTTTCTACTGGTGAAGAAGTTCTAGCGATGGTGCGGTCAGTTGATTGCAATTGCAACAAATTCCTGACGTGCCACCGCGACGCTGATGGCAGCCGTACTGCCATCAGAGTCGCCGTGTTGAACACAGCCGAGAAGCCTTTCCGAGCCACATGTGGCAGAAGTGTCCCGGATTCACGTACGCCTCAGCTGCTCGTGGATCCCTTTAGCGGCCGTGTTCATGCAAAGTTGCATGCGCCACTGCATTTGGATCTCCGTCCCGCAGCTGCATTGGCGATAGTTGTAGCCGTAGTTGCAGTGTGTTTAGCGTTTAGGGTTTAGGGGGTTTAGGGGGCTTAAAGTTTTATTTTTGAGGGCTCTTTTGCGTCTGCACGAAGGTCCGGCCTACGCAAGCCTACTTGAGGCGAGCAAATTCAGCCACCTTACGCAGCTCCGCTTACAAGGAGAAAACACGAAGTGAAAGACTGAACCCCTGTCATCTCAGACAGAGCCATGCAAACGGACAGGAGTGGAAGATTCTCGACATCTCCATGCCCTGCAAGACAAGACACACCTTAGTTACAAGAGTCACCCATGTTAGATGACCACGGCTCATACTTGTTCCCTCCCTTACTCTTGGCTCAGTCATGTGTGCGGCACTTATCCACCATTCGTTTCCCAGCTCGTGCTCTTCCAGCAGACCAGTTAGCACCATCTAGTCAAAAGATACTCATCTGCACCCACTTTCCGTCATGATGCACACTAACACTCGGTTCAGCAGTCCTGCCCAAGTGACCTCGCAGCCCTACCCGCGGAATCCAGACGTGCATCAAAGGACTCGGATATTCCCACGATCGCCAACAATGTCGCCAATCATCCTTGGGAATATGTCCATGTTTGCACCGATAGCTCGGCCAGCTGCCAGTATCCCCATGGTGCCTGTGCCAACCACGTCCCCATTTGTGGTTTCTATCAAGACGGTTCCATGATCGCCTATACCTTGGGTTCCAACCCAGATCAGCAGTCTCACTGTTGTCAGTGTGACCAGTTCCCACAGGAGCATTGCAACAGTCAGCACCACTTTTGGCCCATGAACCATTGAACTCGGGAGATTCTTCACTCAGGCTGTCTTGCGACCCAGTCTCAAAACCCTCGATACCAAGCGAAGCAGGGTCATCCTGAACTTCAAAGTCCTCACGCTTGGCCTTCGCCTTGGTACGTCGTCTTGCTCGCTTCTTTTTGGCATTTCCACATGCAGGAGTCACAGTCACCAACGTTGCAGATGCTGTCTCTGATCCATGTCTTTCGGTCAGTTGCTGCAGCTCATTCCTGACATTTCCACCGCCAGAAGTCTCAATCACCTTTGTTGCCGTTGCAGCCTCAACAACCCTATGCCGCTCGTCCATTAGTTGTTGTAGCTTGTTTTCCAAATAGCAGCATCAATCCGACAGTTGCTGCACAAACGCATTCTGTGCCGCTACTTTGTCCCGCAGCTGCTCGAAATGCTCCATCCATGCCGCTTGCAACTTCACCAGGTTCTGCTCGCTTGACGTACGAATAAGGTCAGCCTGCTCGCCCAGCATTGCACGGAGCACATTCAAATCCAAGCCCAACCCCGGCGGCGACTCATATTCCGGTTCCATCCGTCGGCGACGCGGGGAGGAGGTCCGACGGGTTTACTCTCGAACTTGAAGCCTTGAGCTTGAGCCAAACTTGGGGCTTAGGGTTTAGGCGGTTTAGAGGGCTCAGGGGGTTTAGGGGGCTTAGGGTTTGCCTTAGGGTTTGTAGCTTAGGGCTCAGGGGGTTTAGGGGTCTAGGGTTTACGGTGGTCTAGGGGGCCCTCAAGAGCTGTTTTCGAGTTTACTAAAGGGGCCGTTTAATAAATGGAAAAGGTTTGGGGGTAGTTTATCACTATAACTGTAGTAAGGAAACCCCAGGGGCTCTCCTTTAAAGGTCCCACAACAGGTTTACTAGGGGTTTTGGGCTTTGGGGTTTGGGGGTATAGGGTTGAGGAGGTTTTACGGGTTAGGGTACTAAAGGTACCATACAGGACTTCGCAGATTGTAGGGTTTAATTCAGGGGTGGAGTGGCCTTTTGGTCCTCCCGTTTTGGTCCACACTGAAAGAAGGAGGTTCTATGGGCTTGTCTACAGCTCTTGGAATTTAGGGTCTGGGATTGAAGATCACATGCAGGGAAACAAGACACAAACACAAACGTTCAGATTTTGGGTACCTTTCGCTTACATATCCCCCACTTAGCTGCTGAGTTCATAAGCCCCCAAACAGTGTACACTTTCAGTTTTATAGTGGGTAGTATTATCCCAAAAAGTGTAAAGTGTATCCACTCAGCTACTACGCCGAAAAAGCTTGAACACCAAACCGCCAAAATGGGACTCAGGAACTTCTAAAAGTTAAAACATGTCTAAGTTTCAACTACCTTCTTGGGATACGGGAGTTTCCCCCGAAAAAGGGGATCCCAATATAGTACCATAAATAGTCGGATCCTGATTATAAGGACCCTAAAATAAGGTACCTCAAATTTTCGGAAACTCCCATATATGAAACAAGAGTGTAGGGCCTTTACTTTCAAGCATCATTTGGCCCTTGAGGAAGACCGTATACTACTCTAAAGGCAGAATTAACCTAAAGCCCTACGCAACATTCAAAGCCTTATTCGTTTTCGAACCTTTCTTATGGAACCCTCCACCCCAGACCTAAAAAGCCGTTTAAACCCTCATCTTGAATCTCAACACCCCCAAAACCGCAAACCATAAACCCCAAAGGAACCCACAAAATCGTCAACCCTGCACCCACAATCCCCCGGCTGGAACAGCTCTCAGGGAAAGCACCAAGGCAATGACACCAAACGGAGCCGGAGCCAAGGGTCGTGGAACGGCCTCCTTGCCATGTTCGAAGGGGTTTGAGACTTGGAGTTTAGGTGTGTTAGGATGTTTGGTGTGGGATATAAGGTACAGGGCTCTCGTAATGTGCATATAGTATCCAGGTTCTATGACATAGGGCATAGGGTTTAGGGCTCTACTTTGTGTGGCTTCAATGATTCGAACACGGCTCTGGGGAACGGGATAGTATAAACCCAGATGGCCACACACTCCGTAAATCCCCAATCCTAAATTCTTAAGGGAATCCTGTTGCAAACTACTACGAACCCAACCTTACGTAGGGATAGGAGATTACATACCTTGTGACCAACTGTTCATGTAGAAGTCGCAATGGAACCACAAAATCCTTCGCTATACCAGGATATCTGGTCAGCATATCATGTTGTATTTCGGGCCTGCCGGTTTTCAAGCCAACTTCACCTAGCCCTGAAGCCCAAACGATGCTGCAAGAAAACACTACCAAACAGAAGGTTATAGTAGGTTATGACTTTAGTATACGGCCTAAACTTTAGACCAGTACTGTAGGTTCGTGGATCCACTGGCAACCCCACAATCCAGTGCCATAAGGCCAAAAGCCAAGCCAGAAATCCTAACTTGCCTTCTGCGGAGACTTCGGTGCAGATGCGGCGCAGCGCAGCGTTAAGAACTGCGCATAGAGCCTGCGCAGATGTCGTTGCCAGTCGTTGCTTTAGAATTGGGCTGAGGGCTGCGTTGGGGTTCGTTAAAAGGTCTACTAGAGTTCGAAAAGGCTTCACGCGGCTCAGAGTGGGCTTACATAGATCTACCTGTGACCCCAAACCCTGCAAAATAGTAGGCTATATGATGCCCTATAGTCAGAGGGTAGAACCCTTAAACCGGTAGATCTTTGGGCCCCAAGGGAGGGTTCAAGCCTTAGGGTTCAGCAGAGGCTCAGGGTAGAAGCCAGAAAGTTGGAATATCATTATCGTAACCCCTTTAAGGTAAATTATAGGGGATCCTACCAGTAATCCATATTCCAACTTTCTGGAGTTCCCTTTTGAAGGTTCTCAGGCTCAGGGCTTGGGCTCAGTGCTGGGTTTGGGGTTGAGGGCTCTGACATGGGAGTTTCCGAAAATAGGAGTACCTTCCGTTGGGGTCCTTATAATAATGATCCTGCTATTTAGGCCACAATATTGGCTCCCCTATTTTCGGAAATTCCCCACATTGCTGCAAACTAACTCAAAATAGGAAGCGTTGACACAGATAAAGGGTCTTTGGGGGTGCAGCTACGGGTTGCAGTTAGGGGCCCAGGTCCTTTGCAGGATCTACTTTAAGGGAAGGTGATTCAAACGGGAACGGTACTGGCGGACCCCTCTTGGATCCTGAAGAAACCTAAACAAGGGAGTACCACTTGTAGCAAGAGCTGGAGATAACCAGGTTAAATACCCCCTTCGGAAGTAGGCCTAAACAGGAAAGTAGATTACACCCCAAGGTCTGAAATCCTAATGTCGAATTTTAAACTCAAAGCCGCTGAACAAGAAAGCAAACCGTAACCCCAACCAACAAGATTGCCAAATCCCCAAAACCCCCCAAACCTTAAACCTCCCCACAACAACAACAACACCAACACCACCACCACCAACAACAACAACAACAGCAGCAGCAGCAGCAACAACAACAACTACAACAACAACAGCAGCAACAACAACAACAACAACAACAACAACAACAACAACAACAACAACAACAACACAACACAACAACAACAACAACAACAACAACAACAACAACAACAACAACAACAACAACAACAACAACAACAACAACAACAACAACAACAACAACAACAACAACAACAACAACAACAACAACAAACAACAACAACAACAACAACAACAACAACAACAACAGACAACAACAAAAAACAACAAACACAACAAACACCAACAAACAACACAAACAACAACAACAACAAAAAACAACAACAAACAACAACAAACAACAACAACAACAACAACAACAACAACAACAACAACAACAACAACAACAACAACAACAACAACAACAACAACAACAACAACAACAAACAACAACAAAAAAACAACAAAAAACAACAACAACAACAACAACAACAACAACAACAACAACAACAACAACCAACAACAACAACAACAACAACAACAACAACAACAACAACAACAACAACAACAACAACAACAACAACAACAACAACAACAACAACAACAACAACAACAACAACAACAACAACAACAACAACAACAACAACAACAACAACATCATCCAACAAGTAAGAAACAGTAAGAACAATCAACACAGAAAACACACAAACCTACCCAGAGGCGCCATGGTAGTTCCTATTTGGGATTACCTTTTAGGATGCTATATAAGAACCCCCAAAAAGGAACTACTATGGAGCCTCTGGGTAAACCCAATAACTTTAACCCTAAACCCTCAACCCTAAATCCTAAACCCTAAATCCTAAACCCTAAATCCTACACCTTAAATCCTAAACCCTAAACCCTAAATCGTGAACCCTCAATCCTAAACCCTAAATCCTAAACCCTAAATCCTAAACCCTAAATCCTGAACCCTAAACCCTAAACACCAACACGGGAGGATCTCCGAAAGCCTGGGCAGCGACGCGGAGGTCTCGCTGGTGCCAGCGTGCGCTGCATAGAAGGAGGCGAAATCGAAGCCTGTCTCGGCCTCCGCTGGCGTAATGTGAGAGTACCCAGAGGCTCCATAGTAGTTCCTTTTCGGGGTTCATATATAGAGTCCTATAAGGTAATCACGAAAAGGAACTACATTGGAGCCTCTGGGTATAGTAGAGTTTAGGATGCAATGTGATAGTCAGGAGAGATTAGGATGTAGTGTGATAGTGTAGTAGAGTAGAGTTTAGGATGTAATGTGATAACCGGGGCTACTATAAGGCGGGATCTGCAACACAGGTTCCTTTCAGAGATCTGCAACAAGGGCTCCATTAAGGGATCTATAGTAAGGGTTCCTCTCGGATCGCTTCAACAACTCAGATGGAAGCTCCCTTCATCAGTAGGTTGGGGTTCACGGAACCCTCACAGAACCCCATAAAGAACCCTTCGATTCAAGGAAGGCGCATAGAAGAATCCTTATATGGAACACACAACAGAAGAAACCTTAAACCCTATAAAGCCCTAAACCCCAAACCCTAAAACCCTAAACCCCTGATGACCCCCGGCCCTAAACCCCTAAACCCCGGAACTTCCAGAGCCCCTGAATCCCTACAAGAAAGCCCTAAACTTCAGAACTTCTGAGCCCTCCGCTTTTGCGGCCGCCACGGCCTCCTGCGGCTCTGACTTCAGCGCTGCCGGCCTCGATACACATCTGAAAAAGAGCGCACTGCACAATCTCTGTCTCGGGCTCGGCAGGAACGATCCGGTTTTTGTGACTTGACCCGCCGCCTCTAAGCACCCAAGAAACCTTGCATGACTTTCGGGTGGCCATGCATGTAGTGGGCAGCACAGCACTGTTTTAGTGCACGTCTGACCCACATGCGGCTCCCTGCCAGAAATCTGACTGAGGCCCCACGGGGCGATTGCCAATATTCAACGCAATACAGTCTCAAGACACCGGTGCTCATGTCGGAAAAGCGAGCCTCCTGAGCTCATGCTTGCGCGGTGAAGTCATCAGTGTGCCGTGCTGGCACGTGCGAGGCACTCAGGGCAGATGTCGAAGTCGCACGCGCGAGCCCTGGTTCCCTCTTCACTGTACTCCCACTTGCCATCTTCATTCATACGCATCCTCCCGATGCCCCGTGCCTGAACCCCTGGACTTTCAGCACAGCAGAACAATTTTGGAGGGTTCAAGCGCCAGCAAATGCAACAAACGTCACGCAAAGCACTCTGTCCTTCACCGGAACACCGTCTAAGGACAATGGGATGAGGGTGACAGGAGTGCAAAAACGGCGAAGATTCTGCTCTGTCTATGTCAACTGTGGAGTCAGAGTCCTCGGCGTCAGAGTCCCTTGGCTTCGGCTCGGATTCATCACTTTCCGGTGCGCTCAGCTCCTCCCACCCTTGATTGACCAAGCGGGTCATATCCTCATAGACCTCAGGTGCCCGAACGAGATGGTCCGGCGCTTCTACAGCAGGAGGATTCTCTGGATCAAAGCCCACAGATGTCCTTGAAAGGAATGTTTGCGTGCAGGCCCCAAAGAGGCGCTTTGCCGAAGCCATCATCAAGAAGCCGCCGGCAATCGTCAAGGATGCCGGCAGAATCAGCAAAGGCACGCGTTGTAGCACCTCGCCAGCGGTGTTGAATCGGACCAAGCACAACGCAGCTCCGACTAAGAGCTCGTCACACTCCGGCAACTGCGCCACGTTGCTTGCTGATTCTGGACCACCACCCGAAAAGTATGGCAAGCAGATTCTTGCCTGGCACTGGTGTGTTCTTTCTGAAAAGATCTTCACTTGGCAGCTGGGTTCGTCTTCAAGCTCCGGCGTTGGCAGAGTGAAAGATATGTCATAGTCATTGTGCTGCGCAGGCTGTGCTTCATCCAGATCCCGCAGTGACCATCCCCGTGCGTCAAGGCCAGCAAAGCAACACACGGTGTATCCTTTTGCAACGCCAGCTTCGATGAGCGACTCTTGAGCACCATCTGTGACTTCCAATACTGTAAGGCCGGCGACATCTTCATAGAAACACAAGCCCAATCGCCCGGGTTTCACCCTCACGCTCTGTCGTTCCTTTTCTCTGAAGTAAGATGTTGTGATGACAAGGACATCACACTCATGAAATTGGGATCTCATGGAAAGCATGCTCTCCACACAAATGCCACTGAGAAAATGCAGCCTGGCGTGCCCTTTCAATGGAACGCCATCCTCGAATGAATGACTCATAGACAAGGCAAACACTTCAGGCGAACACTCCTGGGAAGCGGCCACGCGCCAACCATCCTTGGCCTTTGGTGTCACACATCGCAAATGCATCCGTTGCTGCAAGTAAAGTGATGCCCCTGAGGCGGAGAAACAAAGACTGTGGTTCTGAAGCATGTCGCCTGGTTCCAGCTCACTTCGCCACAGTATGTCCAAATTCTCGTTCAGACCAGCTAACATCCTTACCGCCGCGACACAAAGCACATTCTTTGCAGCACCTCGCTTGGGCTCACTTTGGGACCGACAAGAACTGCAATTCTCTTAGTGGCTTCCATCATAGCCATTGAAGCAATGCAAAGAACTCCCTGGTGGTGAACAAAGCTAGCTCATGAGCCTTACCTGAAGGACCAAATGACCCTTAAAAGTAGGGGCCCTGTACCCATGTTCTATGAATCCCGAGATGGTAGATGAACCTTAAACCCGTTTAGGGTTCATTTCGTCCTTAAGGTCGTAGCCTTATAGTAGGAACAAAGCTAGCTGCTTGAAGGTGATGCATCACATGAAAACCGTGGAGCACCTTGCAGCAGAAGCACAAACGCCCATCGCCCGAATCTCTGGGAGACCTTCGCGGTGCTGCAAGGCTTTACTTTGACTTCGCGTCCAGCTGCAAATCTCCAGAATGGCATGAAGCACACCTTGCGGAGCAGCTAGAGTCATCGAAAGCACGAAATTACTGCCCCAGGTTGAAAGGAGCAGCGATTCCACCGGCTGAGCATAACAGCGGAGGTCCATGCTTGACACGAGGGCATGTGCAGGGTTCTTTGCGTACCGTGACTCTGACTTGCATACGATATCGCACTTCAATGCGTTCACATAGATCCGGTAGGCGCCCCACCAAAACGGCACGCTAGCAAATGTTGAACCACTCCCAGACAGATCTTTGGGGCCGGTGGCATCCTCCACTTTGGCCGCTTCGGCGGCGAGACCTCTCAAAAGCAGTCCAGCAGCAGCGTCCTCGGTTTCGCTGAAGCGCTGTGCGCAAGGCCAACACTTGTCCCGACTAGAAGTTCCCGCCCGAAGAAGCGCCTGGAAAGTAATTCAATTCGGGATATATGTGAAAGGATTATACGGGGTAGGGTCGGATAGAACGTACGGCAGAACGGCCTTCACTGTAGGCAGCTCTAAACTGCTAAGTGCAGCATGGGATCCACGTGATCTTCACAGCCCTGCTCGACAAAGCTGCGAGAACTCTGAATGATCTGCTGAGCCTTCTGCCTGCTCAAGTCGCACTGAGTTGCACGCAAAAGCTCTCCCACAGCAGCCCGCGAGGAGAACCACTGTTCATAGAGGCCTCTGCTCAATGCCAGGGCGGCCGCATCACTGACCTCCCAATCCTTGGCCTACTGGCATCAAACAACCTATAGGCCAGCAAAGAATTCCTGATATCAATCTGAAGCAGGACAAGAATCCGTGGTCACCACTGCCCCGGGTCTCCTCGGGCTAATCTGTGACACCACCAGATCGCTTAAGGCGAGGCTTGACACGCTCAACGAGCCCACTGCACATGCAGAGAAGAAGCACAAGCGGAGCCCGTCAGGGATGCAGTCTGCCAGCTCTTGGACGCTCAAGTGGTTTCCATTTGATAAGCGAAAGGACGACTGGTCGATAGGCTCAGTCACGACAAAGTGACAGGCAAGGTGCAACAGATCCACCTTGCTTTGTTGCAAATGTAACCGTAGGCCCTTCACTTGTTCCGCACATAGCTCGCCTCCTTCAAGTTTGTGACAACTCCCACTGGCTGAAAAAAGCTTCGAGATAAAACGCCCCTCGCACGCAGCATAGGGAAGCTCACGCATCGGGGCACCTGCTGTCCCAGGCTCCTTGCTACCAGCTGGCATGGTAGCTCCAATTGGAGATGATAGAACGACTGCGGATTGAATCTCGTGTCCCTTACCCAGAACACTTTCTGGAGATAGCAGAGACATCTCTGTGAGAGAGTTGGCGTAGGTGACGACTTTGGATGTGAAGAGTAGGTCGCCATTCAGCTGCAAGCACTGAAACGGAATCCTGGCCATCATCTTTCCAGCAGGGACGATCAGAATCCACGTGTGCGAGCGGATCAACTCTTCTACTGGGGCCAGCAACTGGGCTGACACCCTCTTCATCAGCGAGGAAACCGTGCTCTTGGCAAAACCCCAACTTTGACAGCAGCGGGTGAACATCTCCAACTCTTCACTGCACACTTGAAGGCTGCGCTGCAGGGAAACTTGGCCATTCATGGCAATTACTTCACTGTCAAAATAGAACAGTGCTAGAACGCCTTCTTGCAAACTTGAGACCACCTTCCTCACATACTCGGTGTGATCTTGCATCAAGGGCGCCGCCATTTCCGACAACTCCTCCAAGGCGGTGTTGTTACAATGCAACACTTGCTCGATGTAAAACTTAAGAGGCATTGGGATTGGAGGAACGCCTCTCCTCGGAAACCCGTCATCATCATCAGTCCATATCTCACCCATCCATGCCTCATTCAACAGCTGGGCCTCGTTTAACCGCAAGAACGACAGGCCACTGCCTCGTGTTGCATGACTTTGGACAGACAGGGGTCATCAACTCGGGATCGTTTGATGTGCCACTCATCCGTCGGAGGAGGGCGTCGCTCATGCGCACGAGATCGCACGAGCACCCACCTTGGCAAGTCGCCTTGAGATTGAAAATCTGAACTACGTATGAGCATTAGCTGGCTTAAGTGGTTGCAATGTGGAAACCAATGCATTGTCGCAAGTCGCAAGGCTGCCAACCCAGGTTTTGAGCAGCTGCATTCTCACTCTCAAGGTACCTGAAGGACCAAATGACCCTTAAAAGCAGGGTTCAGGTAGGGTTTAGCCTTTGAGGGTGTCGGGGAGGGGGCTCGGAGTTTAGTAGCTTCGATGTTCGGGTTCGGGGTCTGGCTGGGGCTTTGGGCTGTTCGGGCGGTTGCCTCCTGGACTCCTTAAGGACGAAATTAGAACCCTAAAAGGGTGTTGGGTACTAAAGAGGCCTAAATAGGGTTCCTTAAAGGTCTATAAGGAATCTATAGTAGGGTTCTATTCAGTTTTCATTACCTGAAGGACGAAATGAACCCTAAAAGGGTTTAAGGTGCATCTACCCTATAGGGAGTGATAGTATCAGGGTTCTAGGTTTCTTAAAGGGTTTAAGGCTCATATACCATATAGGGATTCATAGTATATGGGTATAGGGCCACCTTTTTTAAGGGATTGCATAAGGAAACTTTGTTCGGGAACCCTAAAAGGGTAGGTTCTTCAGGGTTAAGGTAGACCCCCGATAAAAGCTAGCAGAATCCCTAAATCCTTGAGTGGGGAGAGGCTTAGCTCGCCATTTTGCTTCGGATCTTCACAACCGCAACCCCTACTAGCAAAGGAGCCTCCTTTCTGCATTCGGCGATGTCGAATCCGTCTGTAACGCCTCTGCAGACGCTGTCGGCTGTTACTAGGGCTTGAGGGCTTCAGGATTCAGTTTGAGTTTATAAGTAAGGCTTAGGTTAAGGATGTGGGCTTTGCGGTTTAAGCACACCTGTCCAGTAACCTGGGTTTACATGAAGGTCGCACAAAGGGTTCTACAGGGGTTTCAGAAGCCACAATACGTACACTCTTGGTACATGAGGTTTTGGTTTGACGAGGGCTATAAGCCGATAGTGCTACCGTTTATTCAGACGACCTTACTGAAGGCCCCTATTCACTCTTTCAATGTTGAGTTCCCTCGCTGGCCTCAGACTTCGACTCCGGGCAAGCACCAAAACCCTACATACATTCTACCTAAGCCCAAACTCAGTCTAACTAAGCCCCAAGCTCTAAGCCCTATAACCTCCCAAAGCCACAATCCCCAAAACCCAAAACCCTGGAACCTGAAGAAATTGAAACCTTGGCTGGATGTAGCGTCCGTGCTCGAAATCCAGATTCAAAGTTGATACTGGAGCCCTGAGCAAGATGGAAAACTCTGGCTTTGTAGGGTTTTGGTTTAGGGCTTAGGGTGTAGGCTTGATGGGCCTTGCATCATTTGGCTACGGTTGTGGGGAATAATACACCAGGTAGTACACCGGAAGTCGATGGGGAAGTGGGAAGCGCCGCAAGCTCCTACAACCACCCTGCTATCAAATCGTGATGTGAGACGTGTGCATAACCAATTCAAAGACTATAAGGCCATACAAGGGGCTTGCATGGATTATCGATACTGAACACTCCGGTGCTCTATTGGGAGTGAAGCGCCTATGTAGCTCGTGTACTTAGAGACCGCATGTACCCCTAAAAGGAATTCACAACGGAGGTTAAGGGTTTGCTCCCCCCCCTACCCTTCGCCTCAGTGTGGCAGGTAGGTGGATCTGCCGGTTGAGCTCGCTGGAGCTTTGCCCGCCTGACAATTTAGGGGTTTGTGAAGTTGATGCATTTATGGCTTATAGAGTTTAGGGGCCCAGTTTAGGGGTTAACACGGCTGAAAGGGTTTAGGGTTTCAGGGGCCATCCAAAAATGGGCTAGACCCCGAGATGTTTCAGGTGCCCGAGCAACTTGAATAGCTCGGGTTGCAGTAAAGGCTACTGCAGGACCCTATAAGGACACATACTGGCATTCCCCCGAAAGCTGGGTGGGACACGAAACGAGAACTTTTTCTGGGCCACCAACCCTTTCATGTCTGCATCGCGGCGCTGGAAGGGGGGCGGGGCGTGTTTTGGATGTTAACCAGAAACAACTCAAGCCCAAATGTCATGCACCGCTATGCCCCTGGACCCTTTTACAATACGCCAAGTCTGTATTCGAAGGAGGAGGCGACTATGGGCATCCGCCTTGCCACGGCCCGGCGCGGCACGGAGGGTGCATTCATCGACCCACTCCTGGATCCACGGGCGAAGGAACTTGCTGCTGGCCTTTGCCCCATCATCTTGGCCAGCATCTTCCTGGTCATATGGTTAGAAGACTCGCAGTCCATGGCCAATGCTTTGCACCCAATGCGGGAAGCTGCACTCCGGGCACTGGCGAGACAGGCTTACAAACTTCAAGTGGAGGTGGCACGCATGGCATCGGTGGCAGAGGATGTAGCACCCACCGCAACCTCCGGGGACTTAAAATCTTCCCAATCCTTGGCCGTGGGTTGCATCTGCGTGGAGTCCGCTGGTGGATTCATGTGCCAGCCCAGTCAGTGCATAGGTGTACAGCGATGGGTTGGCTACCGACGGTGCACCGGCTGGAAGCACGGATCCTGAGGGACCAAATGACCCTCAAAAGTAGGGGCCCTTTACCCATATACTATGAATCCCTATATGGTATATGAACCTTAAACCCTTTTAGGGTTCATTTCGTCCTTAAGGATGGTGGCATGGGCCCGGCGCCATCCCTCTCTTTTCTTGGGGTTCAAAGCCGCAACCACTCCCTTCGAATCCGGCACTTGACCTTGAGACAACACTCGGTTCCACTAGGAACCCTTTAAAGGGACCCTATTCTAATTGTTGAGGCTCTGCCCTATAAGTTTTACATCCCTCAATTCTCATAACCCTTGTCAGGAGGTGAGTGCCTCCCACCAGTTGAAGGGAGAGAGTCAGTAGTGGCCTATCTCATAGGGATAATTAGGGGCGTAGGGGGAGGGGGGGTAGGGGGCCTTAAGGCCCATAATAAGGACTAATAAGGCCTATTTAAGGAAATATAGTCCCCTACACCCCTCCCCCTACACCCCTAAGGATCCCTAGTAGTGGCCTATCGGGCAGCACCTGCGAAGCCCCAGATGCTGAAACCCTAGACCTGCACAGTTTTGTCGGTTGTGCAAGAAGCAGGTCTTAGAATTTTGTCGGGTTTTCTATAAAGACCTTCTACCCACAGGAATATAGGGGGCTTTATCATTGGAATATGGTTTCGGGGTACATGATACGAAAGTAGAATCAGGAACACGGAAGGATAGTCTTAGTCATTCTACAACCTCTATGGTAATCGATTTTGCTTCGGAGGTGCGTTGCTTCCAGCACAGCCGTGTCGCTCTTCAGCTCCTCCCCAGAAAGCGGTGTCTGAAGAAGTTTGCGGGTTCTCTCAAGTTTTCTATAACGGGTTCGACTAACATCCGATGAGGCTTCCATATCGATATGGCTCATGCTTTACCCATTAAGGCTTTCATTAAGGGTCCAAGCACATGTATGGTGTGTACTTTGGGGTGGCCAAAAATCTACTAAGTAGCTACGATATTGGTACTTAGACTCTGTGGGTTATGTTTTAGAGCTGCGTGCCTGTAGGGTCTAGATATCGGTTTAGGACTCCAACTGTTTTGGGTAACACCGCCCGCACAGCGGTCCCCGCCGCAACAGCTCAAAGACCAAAGACCAAAGCCCTGAAACCTCAGCAAAGACCCAAAGGCCTAGAAAATAGGGAATATACCTTAATCAAAAAACTGCCTGGCTTCATATTACGTTTAGGGTCTAGGGAGTATACCCGAATCAAAACATAGGGCTTCATATTGTTTAAGCTATATTCCTTAAACATGGGGTATTGGTCTCTCTGCGAAGACGCATATTCCTGCACCAACAAGAACTATCCTAAACTCTACACAACCTGACCCCTCATTAAATCGACGCCCAGAACTGACTTCTACTTGCAGTGCAGGGGGACATGAAATTGATATGCTACGAGGACCCATACAGATATACGTAACATGTATCATAACCCCAGTTGGTGTCCCTGTGCGGTACAAAACCATACCCACCCCTTAGAACCATAATAAATCCAGTATTGTTCAATGTTCTCTTTGGGTTGTATATGAACCAAAATAAAGAAACTACTCCCAAGGAGCCTATATTAGTAGAAAACTCCCGCCCCTGCAAGTTTTGGAGCCCATTCTACTATAAGTATAATTACAAAGACCCCCCAAAAAAAAATAGTATGGGTGATTAGTCAGGTCTCTATAGTATGGTCCTCGAGCCGGTCTAAGTTCGCCTGGATTGCCGCGCGGCCTCGGGAGAGATCGCTTCTTGAGCGATGAAGAGAGGCTTTGGGCTAGGGTTTATATGGGTGGTTGTCAAAATTATGGCCCCTTTTTGGGTACCCTAAATACTAGGTGCCGTATTATAATAAGGACCCAAAAAGGGACCATCATTTTGACAACCACCCATATAGGGGTTCAGGGTTTGGGTTAAGGGTTGGGGGTTTAGGGCTTGGGTTGCAGGTTAGGGTGCGGGTTTGGGATTAGGGCTTGAAGTTTTAAGGGTTTAGATGCTGGGGTCATTTCGGGTTTGAGGATTACAGGGTTTGGGGATATGAGGAGTTTAGCGGGTTTAGGGCTTTGGGGGCCCTGTGGTTTGTGGTTTATCAGCACATGTGACAAAAGGAGAATGAAGGTTTAGGATGAGTTTAGGCTGATGCGGGCCTGGTAGGGTTCAGGCTTTAGGGTGTCTCTTTGAGTTGTGGAGTATCGGATTGCAGATGAGATCTGAGGTGTTGCTTGCAAGCCAAATGGGTTCACACTCGCTCTCCAACAACTGCAGTAATTAGGCGCCAACCTGTCGCATCGTTCTGGGGCCTTGACAGCCTTAGTGGCCTTGTTCTCCAGGTGCTTGCTGGCTGTTAGCTAATGTTGGTTCTTCTCAGCCCGTTCCTGCAAAGTCTTCTTCAAGAAAGCGGTGCTCAATCCCAGCTGTTAGCCCTGCTGTCATACACCGGAGACTGCTGTGAGTTGGCCCAAATGATCCGAGATCGAGCCACGGCCATCCACCATGTACGCATCATGGATTAAATTATTTCAGCATTTAGGAAAATCAAACTCATCCCCAATCGATACCTAATTTTGGCACATGGAGCCGTAAGCCCAGAACCCTTAAAGGAACCCTTGAAGGAGCCGCCATATGGGGGTTTCCGAAAATAGGGGACTCTAATATAGTATCCTAAATAGTAGGATCCTTATTAGAAGAACCCCGGAACTACTATGTTTACAGGCGTTTAGGTTGGGTCGTAGCCTGAAGGACCAAATGACCCTTCAAAGTAGCGGCCCTATACCCATATAGTTACTATCAATCCCTATATGGTATATGGGAGTTGCCGAAAATAGGGGACCCTACTATAGTACCCAAACTAGTAGGATCCTTCTTAAAAGGACCCCAAAGTAAGGTACCGAAACTCCCATATGAACCTGCAAAAGTAGGGGCCCTATACCCCTGTACTATGAATCTTATGAACCCCTATGTCGTATATGAACCTTCAACCTTTTTTAGGGCCCAGTTCGTCCTTAAGGAGGTTGCCGAGGCTGAGGGTGCCGGCGTTCAGCCTCCTCTGCCTCACTAGGCCTGAGACACAGAAAAGGCTTTCTGTAGCTCAAAGGGTACACTTCGGTTGATGATCTAAATCCCCTTTAACAGAATCATGATCTTCGCCTATGCTAAACGAAAAATACCTCTAAGAACTAATGCACAGGTACCTTGGATCCTCCTGGTGCTGCCGTTTGTGATGTAAGGCTTTAGGGCCTAGAGACCAGGGGTTTGGGGTTTAGGGGCTTTAGGGTTTAGGAGGGCTGGAGGCCTACCTTAACCTACCAAACAAACTTTTTTGCGGGAGCCCTTGGGCTTTATAACAAAGACCTACTGGGCTTATAACGCCCCTAATATGGATTATGAATTTACCCCCACTTATAACCCTACTTATATGACTACCCATGAACCTCCAAGTACGGTAAGGTAGGCTTTCCAGGTTAGCAGTCTCTGTCGCGAAAGCCGCGGCACTCAGACCTTCCGTGTGACAAGTCAGTCTGGAGGGCTGTTAAGACCCTAAGCATCAAACCGTGTTTCCCTAAACCGTAAACCCGAAGCCTTAATCCCTGTACGCTAAGCCCCAGAGGATCGCTTCAAATGCTGTGATTTGAGGGCGGTCAGGGGCACAGGGCTTAAGGCATGCTTGGGGTTGCAGGAGTTTGAGGTTTATAGGGCTTAACCAGGGTTACAAGCATGCGGATGACGGAAATTAGACTCAGGGTGTCATGAAGATTAGAGGCTAGAGGCAGGAAACTGGCTCCCCTCAAATACACTGTCTCAGGCAGGAATCTCTTGTTGGGTCAAGGCTTTGTCGTTACTCGTGGAACTTGGAAAAATGTTCTCTAGAGTCTCTAGAGCCAAGAATAACCTAGGAAAAAAGAGGTGCCCTTTTTGGTTTAAAGGGGCTTCTAAGAGAACCTACCCAAAACAAAAAAACTAAGAAGCCATAACTTGGCTGCTGAGAATCCTGACAATGAATTTGGTCGATCAGGTCAGCTTTGCTCGAGGAGAATCTAAAGTTTAGCTCTTTTAGGGTTTGTGGTTTAGTTGTCTTAGTCGGTTTTACGCTTTCTTCTGCTGTGATGTCTTCTCGAGGCTGAACTGCGCCGCCTTCGCCGTAGAGTCTTTGAGGACCGGCTTCTGGTTGAGGTAGCTCGTGGCAGCCAACATTGCATCCCCGCGAAGCTTCTCCTTGGTGTCCTGATTGCATGCTTCTCTTCGGACTCAGTGGCTTAAGTATAGGGCACTTGGCCAAGATATGGTGGCCTCAAAGGAGGCTGAGGGCGACAGCAAGCATTCGCTGGCACGGCGTGCCCGCACCGCGCCGCGTGCCGTTGGGCGATGACGGAGTGGAGCCACCGGCCGCCCCTGCAAGCGCAGGAGTTTCTATCTGAGCCTTTAAAAATCAGAATAGGGCCTTGCGGCCCACTATGCTATACTTATAAGGAACCCCCAAGATAGTATAGGTACCCTATACTCCGAATCCGAAACACGTTGACCCATAACAAACCCCTTCGAACCCTTTCAACGCACATGAACACCAAAAGATCTGAATCCTCTGCCCTTCTCAAGGTTTACACCTAAGACTCCTGAACCCTCGACGACACCTGAAGCCCTGCCTTAACCTACCAAACCCTACTTTTTGTAGGGTCCCTATAAGCCCCATACCAGGGTTCATAATAAGAACCCACAAAACAAGTAGGGTTTGGTAGGCTACGGTACAGGTTTAAGCACCAAAATGTTGAAGTCGAAAACCTTCAACTCCTTCAGCCCTTCCGACACATAAAGCCGTATATAACCCCCGAACACTGAAGCCTCAACTTAAACCCTAGGGTAACCTGTAGGGTGCCTGCATGCGGGACTTGAAAACAAAAACCTATGCCAGGTAATCCTGAAGCCCTAAAAGGCAAAGCAACCCCAAGCCCTGACCCACGACACCAACACTCTAGACTCTAAGCTTTGAAACCTAAACCCTAAATCTATATTTAAACTCTGTAACCTAAACCCAAAACCCCAAATCTTACAACCTAAACCCTAGACTCCGAAACTTGAAGCCCTAAATCCTGAACCTTACACCCCAAGACCCCAAAGCCCCTTAAGCCCACAACCATGAGACTTGAAGCCTACGGCCACGGCCCTAAAGCCCTAGATCCAAGACCCAAAGCCACCTAACGCTCTATGGATTAGGGTTTAGGGTTTAGTTTAGGGTTTAGGGTTTAAGGTCTAGGGTCTAGGGTTCTGTAAGGACCCCCTATGGCCCTTTGATGGAGCCCTTATGACTCTTAATAGTGGGTATTTGGGTAAATTAGAGGTTAGTTGGGGGGTCTAAGAAGGGGCCTTTAGAACTAACATGGTTTTGGTGTATATGAAGAACTACAGTTATGTTCAGGAACAGGATTTTTTGGGGTGGTATACTACTCTACAATTATCTTAGCTGCTGAGTTCATAAGCCCCCCAAAAGTGCACCCTTTCAGTTTTATAGTGGGTAATATTTTCCAAAAAAGTGTAAAGTGTATGCACCCAGCTGCTAAGTTATGATTAGGGAACCCCCTGGACCAACGAGTAGCATATGTAATTGGAAGCCCCATGCTGGGGGGAGCCTGGGTGGCTGCTTCGCCAAGAGAGCCGCAAGTTCCGCCCGGCGCTCCTTGTTTCGGGGCTCGGCACCCTTACCGATAGTCTCCATTGTAGTCCCTTTTGTTGGCTAACCAGTTTTATGGTTAGGACCCTATAATAAAGATTTTGGTTAACCAGAAAAAGAGCTACAATGGAGACTATAGGTAAGAACGACATGAACCCTAAAAGGGCTTAAGGTTCATATACCATATAGGGATTCATAGTACATGGGCTAGTCTTAAGGGTCATTTAGGCCCACGATAATCCCAAAGGGCGCTGAGTACCTATAGAGTAGAGTGTAGGGTTTCTAGATTAGGACTGACTCTTGTGATTTGAGGGCTTTTGTAACGGGTTTTAGGTTGAGGGCTTTGATATTGTTTAGGGGCTTTCATGGTTAGGAGCTGACGACCAGTCCTTTGACGACGAGTCTTCAGCACACTCAGATGGAGAAGCCCATCATCCCCATCACGTTCCTGCTGCTGCACCCCCCATTGCAAGAGGCCCTTCCCACCAAGGGCACAGAGCTATGCGACACATGTGGAGTTCTGCCGGCTTCAAGCACGATACCCTCCGTCCGGGTGCCAGCGACCTCACCTCTGTTACCGCAGCTCTTCCCTCCCGTGGTCCCTTCCGGCCGGCCGCTGTGTGCACTGTTTGTGTCACTGCTTCTGCTGGCCAGGGACGCCGTCGCCCCAGTGGGCTTGCTCTCTCCCCCTGCTTCAAGTTTGTTGCAGCATTTGCCAGCCTCTGCGTGCAACCCAGCACAGCCATGCAACTGGCCGGCAGCCTTTTTAGTCAGCAGGCTAAACCAGGTCCAGAATTGGTTGGGGTCCCCTCTTTCACCAATGCACGTCACTGTGGGGAGCTGCCTGTCTCCGTGCCCTGGACTTCGAGGACTCCCAGGCCCCTCCCTACACCGTGCCGTGCTCCCCCTCTTCCTTCTCAGTCTGGGCCCGATGTTTCCTCCGGTAGCGGCATTCCAACACATGTCCCCCCTGTGAACCCGGGCTGCTATGCCTGTGCCAGGCCCGTGAAGGACATCCCAGGCTCCAGTTTTGCTATCGGCACACTTAGCACCCTGCTTTGGGAATCCGCGCGAGAACCTGGTTGCCCGGCTTTTATGCTGGCCAGCACTCTTCTCGAAGCATGTTTTGAACACTTCCAGGGTAAGATGCAGGCACCCTTGCGCATCTCCCTGTCTTTGTGCCGCGCACTCCCTATCGCCTGCGACCACACGACTCCGACAAGCTGCGACCTGTGGGGTCAGCTCGACTGTGCACTCGAGCAATGTCCGTGGACTCCAGTCAGCCTCCCGGACATGCTACCTTTCCACGACGACGATCAGCCCCTTCTGGGAACACATCGCTTGCCCTTCTCCTGCGCGCAGCTGAGGCAGTTTCTTCTACCTCAATGCAGCCTTGGGGACGGCTGGGATATTCTCCTCGCTATCAGTCAAAAGGATTTGGAGCAGTGCCGCGCACTCCAGTTGCGCCCCTGCGATTTCTTGTCCACCGACACGCACTGTTTTACGGATGGCTCTTTCGATGCCGGAGTGCCAAACCCTGAGAGCACTTGCACATGGGCATGTGTTTTCATCTCGCCCCACTCTGGGCGATGTGTCGCAGTCTCGGGCCTTGTGCCTAATTGGGCCTTTCCCGTCGACAAGCCCTCTGCTTTCATTGCCGAATGCTACGCCCTCCTTGTGGCTGCCTGGCTGAGTGTCACTCGGTTCCATCACTCACAAATTGTGCTTAGATCCGACTGCACCTCGGCCATCGGTGTATTTCAGGGCATTTTTGCAGGAGCCCCTGATGGGGTTGCGGCTGTGCTGCGCAGTCTCGGCTTATTTTGTCGCGAATTTTCGCACTTCTGTCCAAGGGTTGCCCATATTAGAGGCCACCAGGGGTGTCTTGGCAACGAACTTGCTGACTGCCTTGCCCGAGCAGCGGCCAAAGGACGCCCATGCGGGCGGTTAGAATGGTCACCTGACAACTCCCAGCCTTGGTGGCACCAGGGAGGTTCCCCCCTGGGCTGGGCATCTGTTGCCATCGCACGCTTTGCTCGCAATGTCTCATACCCGTCCCCGTGTGCTGAGGGCCTGCAGCCTTGCCGCGACACTCTCGGCCTCGAACCCCTGCAGCTTGTCGCTCCTTTTCTGCCCACCCCAGCCCCTCCAGGTACGAGCGACGGTCAGAGCAGCTGGGGCCACTTCTCGTTGCGAGTCTGCTCTTTCAACGTGCTCTCCCTTAACAGCCAGTCGCTAGAGGGTCCCGCCGCCGAGGGACTTGCCTTCCAGCCGGCAAGACCCACTCTCCTTGCCAACAGTCTCCGCGACGCTGGCATCCACATTGCAATGCTGCAGGAGACGCGAACAGAAGAGGGCGTCCTGCATTCACAGGGCTACCTTCGCTTCGCCTCTGGAGGTACTCGGGGCACCCTCGGTGTCGAGGTGTGGATCTTGGAAGGCCACCAGCTTTTCTCTTCCAACCATGGCCCCGGCCGTGTGCGCCTAACCAGAGAGGCGTGTGTTGTCGCGCACCGCGACCCACGTCGCCTGCTGCTCCTTTTCAAGCAGGACGGCTTCAGCTTGTTGATTGTTTCAGCGCACGCCCCGCACCGTGCATGCGAAGTCAGTGCCATCGAGGAATGGTGGAAGGAAACCCATCGCCTCTGTGTTAAGCATGCGCAGTCATCCCCGATCTTGTTCGGTGGAGACATGAACGCTTCTGTTGGCTCCGTGCCCACTGCGGCCATTGGCGATCATGACCCGGACCAACAGGATGAGTCAGGCGCTATGCTGGCGTCATTCCTTGCTGCGCAACAGCTTTGGTTGCCGTGTACCTTTTCCTTTTGCCATAGTGGCCCATCCGGCACATATATGCAGAAAAGGAATGGGGCTATGTCGAGAATAGACTTTATTGCATGTCCAGATGCCTGGAAAAGTGGGAACATCAGCACGTGGACCGATTCCACCTTGCATGCTGGGCAGACTTCCATCGACCATGTTGCCACATGCTGTCAGCTTGACCTTCCCATCAACCTTTCTGGCAACCCCAGCCACCGCAGTAAACGCCGGTTCGATGGACGGGCTATGCTTACGCCCAAGGGGCGGGAGGCCGTCGAAGGCATTTTGCAGCGTGCCCCGCAGATTCCATGGTCTGCCAGTCCGCATGCACATGCCGCGACTCTTGTGAGTTATCTTCAAGATGCCCTAGCTACTGCTTTCCCTCTTCAGTCAGGCAGACGGCATAGGCCTTACCTCTCTGACTCCACCTGGGCCCTGCACAGTGAGGTCGCCAGGCTAAGGAAATCTTGTACGCGCATCAAATGCGCTCTGAATTTTCATTTCCTCGCTGCCGCCTTCCAGGCATGGGCTGGCGCTGACGGGCGCATCCTCATGCGTATGCTTGACTCCGCCTGGACTCGGGAGGCTCATCGAGCGGGGGCCCAGCAGAGCCATCATCTTGGAGAAGCATCACGCAGACTCAAGGCAGCCTGCAAGCAGGACCGGGCCACATACTTCAGCGATCTCGCTGACGAGGTCCAACGAGACGCACCCCACGCCAGTAAGGCAGTCCATCGTCTGATGGGCCTCCGACGTCGTAAGCCTTTCCGCCCAGAAGTCTTACCCATGCTCCAGAAGGCCGATGGGAGCCTTTGCCGAACACCCGATGAGGTCGTCCACCGATGGCGCGAGCATTTCCGAGACCAGGAAGATGGTTTCGAGGCCTCGCCACACGAGCTCGCCGTTCTACCTGTAGCGGAGGCTGGCCCTGTTGGCCCCCCGCTTCTCAGCGACATGCCCTCGCCTGATGTTCTGCTGCAGGTCATCGCCTCCTCGCAAAAAGGTAAGGCGGCCGGGCCTGATGGCCTTCCGGCTGAGGTTGGCCATGCCTCCCCCCAAGCCCTGGTGCGACTGCTTATGCCTCTCCTCGTCAAGATAGGCTTTACTTGCGAAGAGCCTATAGGCTTCAAAGGTGGAACCCTTAGCCGGCTTTACAAGGGCAAGGGTGACACTTCTCAGTGCGCCAGCTACCGCGCCATCATGCTCCTCCCGACTTTGGCCAAGTTCCTTCACAAAGCTTTCCGCCCTGGTCTCTATGAGGTCTTCAGGAGCAATGCTGCACCGGCACAGCTAGGCGGCCTCAAGGCGACATCTGTCGTTTTGGGCTCCCACCTCACCCGTGCCTTTACCAGGTTCTGTGCATGTGCCGGTAAGACTAGCATTGTTCTCTTCACCGACGTTGCATCTGCCTATTATTCTGCCGTCAGGGCCCTCACTGCCCGTAAGACTCCAGATCCTGTCGGGAGCCCACTCTCTAGTCCCGACCGCGATCATCTCGCGGAGGCCCTCCGGCAGCCTTCTGCCATGGCACAGGCCCAGGCCCCTCCTTGGGTCGAAGCTCTCACGGCCGAACTGAACAGCAACACCTGGCTGTGCCTAGCCGGTGACCACCAGCCGATCGTAACTCGTCAGGGCTCGCGTCCTGGCTCGAGCTTTGCTGACTTGTTTTTCGGTGTTACCATCCCTCGCATGCTGCGGTGGCGGGACGACGCGCGCTCTTGCCCAGCAGCGTCACACCCGCACATTGACCACACGCCTGAGATATGGTGGGACGGCCTGTGTGATTTCTCCCCGCCATCTGCCGATCCCTCTGCATGGCGGGTCTCCACCAGGCTCAGTGATGTGATCTGGGCTGACGACCTTGCAAAGTGCATCATCGCTCCTGAGGCGAGCAATGCGGCTTTCGCCGCCGCCTTCGAGTGTGGGCTCCTTGCCGATGCCTTTTATGCCCACGGGTATGAGCTTAGTTTTGGCCCTACGAAGACCGCTGCGATTATTGTTCCGCGGGGCCCTGGCGCCCGCAAAACGCGACGCGCTCTCTTCAGCTCTAAGCCTGTGCTACCGGTTTTGCGTGAGGAACAGGGAGCTGCCGAGCTCCCACTTGTCACTTCCTACCGCCACTTAGGGGTCAAGATCACGTCAGCTGTTTCTCTCATTGCGGAGCTCCGGCACAGGGCCTCGCAAGCCTGGGCGGCCTACCAGCAGGGACGCACCAGAGTCTTCCGCTCCGGGCGGATCGCGCTCAAGCGGCGCGGGCTCCTTCTCTCCACGCACGTCATGACCCGCTTGCTTTTTGCTTCCGGCGCTTGGCCTGCTCTTAGCAAAGGAGAGCACGCTTTCTTTTTCAGGACGGTCATTGCCCTTTACCGCCACACGCTTGCCATTCCGCATGGGGGTGACCAACACCTCTCACATGCCACAATTTGTGCGCTGATTGGTCAACCGCCTCCTGAGGTGTTGCTTCTGACTGAGCGTGCGCGCTACATACTGCAGCTTGTTAATGCGGCACCTGCGCCGCTATGGGCCCTCATACGGCGCGACCCGCCGTATGTTGCGCATGTCCGCGAAGCCCTACTCTGGGTTTACCGTTGGGTGTGTGCCACATCCCCCCTCGGTGACCCCGAGTCGACCTGGCCTGAGTGGGAACTTCTGCTTAAGCAGCGCCCGCACGTCTTCAAGGCTCTCATTAAGCGGGCTAGGGGTCTTGAGGTAGTTAGGACGTCTTGTTTCGCTGCATTGCAAGCTGTTAGGCGCACTTTGGAACAGCTTGCGGGTTGTGCTCAACCCCCATCTGACTCCACGCTCCGCTATCAAGAGGCGTGCCTGCCATGCCGTATTGCCTTTCCTAGTCGAACTGCTTGGGCTTGCCATGCGGCGCGCTTGCACGCTTATCGTGCACCTTCTACCCTTCTTGCTGCTGGCTGCGCACAGCCTTTGTGCAAGGCCTGTGGGCGTCTCTACGCCAACATTGGGCGGCTTAAACGGCACATCGGGGCATCGGCCAAGTGCAGGCGTGGATGGGGGGCTTTTCGTCCCGCCTCCTCTGTTTCCCCTGCTGTACACCCTGAAGCGCCGCCTGTCTGCACCCAAGGCGAACGGGACCACTTCTCACTTGAGCTCGATCCGGCCTTTGCCCACCCGGGTTTGCTAGCTGACCTGCGAGGCTTAGATTCGCCCACACAAGAGCTGGTTTGGGGTCATGTTGTTGAATACATTGAGCCCCTTGATGTCCTGCGCAATACCCTTGACGAGTGGCAAAAATCTCCAGGTCCCTTTCAGGACCCTGACTGTGTTGCCACTCTCGCAGCGGATGTCCGCTTGCTTCTCGATCCCGAACTCTGGTGTGATGACTTCCGGGCTCCGAAGCATCCCCCCATGCCAGCTGTGGCATGCCCGCCTTTGCCTACGGCCGGACCTGGCAAGATCGGCTTCGTTCTTACCGGGCATGTTTGCACAGTCACGATCAGTGACCCTCCGCTTCGAGACTTTGTCCACCCCTTCAGGGCTAGTGTGCCGTTGGCAGCCGCCAGACGGCAAGCAGACTGGCTGGAAGCCGCTTGTGACTCCGTTGGCGCTGCCCTGCAGCAATCCACGTCACATCCTGTCGCCTTCCGCCTCTCATCCCTTGCCTCAGAGTGCCTTGCCCCGGTCCCTGAGTGGCTTCTGTCTTGCGGTTTCCGGGTCGAGTCAGGGTACATTCGCTCTCCTTTGGATTGAGCTTATGCACCGACTCCCCATTTCACCTGTTTCACTTCCGAATTCATTGCGAGGAGCGCGTCCCCTGGACCCATGCTCACCCAGAAAGAAAGAAAGGAGCTGACGAATTTTGGGCTTTTAACCCGGGTTGTACGGTCTAGGGTGTAGTTTGGGTAGCGGCTGTGGTGATTTAACGCTCAGGGTATAGGGGGTGGAGGGATTAGGGTTCAGGGGCGTTTTGGGGGATGAGCTGCTGCTGGTGTTTGAGGCTTCAGGGTTTAGGGCTCAAGGTTTCGTTTCCGATTCAGGCAGTTGCTGTTTGCGATTCGGCATTGAGGGATACAAGGGTTCAGGAGTTCAGACTTCAAGGCGTAGGGGTGCAAGGTTTAGGGTTCGGGCCGAAGTTATATCCCCGATACAAAAGGGATACTGGATCATAAAGCCTGGCCCCTCAACCCTAAACCGTAGCCCCGAACCCCCTAAACCCTAAACCACACCCAGCACCGGCAACTTTCGTCCTGTTGGTCCGATTCGAGCTTCTTCAGATTGCCAATCAACGGCAGCAAGGTTTCAGCCTGAAGAGGAAGAAACTGTAGCATCCTGTAAGAAGACCCTAACCCGCGAGAACCTACTTTTTTCTGTCGGGTCCCTGTATATAGCAAGGGCGTAGATCCAGGTTCTAGTAGGTCAAGTGACTGATGCAAACTCATGACAGCTGAATCAGCGGCCCTTTTGCGAAGGCATGTGGGCCGATCAGACGTCTATAATATGGCATCCCTGCAAAATGGGCCCAGAAACGAGGGAACTTGCGGTGTCTGGAGTTGTACGATTCGGAAGGTACATGGGTAGTTGTCAAAATTATGGTTCCTTTCGGGGTACCCTAAATATCAGGTGCCGTACTATATTAAGGACCCAAAAAAGGACCATCATTTTGAAAAGAACCCACATGGCAAGTGTCTTCTTATGATAACGGTTGGCAAAGGTCGAGTATTAGGATATGCGATTCGGAAGGTTAAAGTTTGGGAAGTAGGGCCCTAAAACCCCAAACGCAAACCAGCCATAAGCCCTGCATGGAACCTAAACCCTCAAGCCCTGACCCACGAAAGTTGTCTCTGACCTCCGGCATCTTTAGCGGCGAGAATGAGAAGATGCTACCCAAGAGGGCCCACATACACTACCCAAAACCATTATCAGGATGGCCTCTCGTCACCTAATTGCAGAATGGTTGTGTAGGGGACCCTAATATAGTACCCTAAAATAGTAGGATCCCAATTATAAGGATTCCCAGAATGAGGTACTACTCCCTCATCTTCGCAAACTCCCATATGGGTCCTCTTGCTCATATCTTACCCTGTCTTAGTAGGGAATGGAAGAATGGTAGTAATAGTAGTTATAGTTGTACCCCGTTCCTCCACTCCCTACCAACCAAAGGTAAGAAACACCCGAAACCCTAAACCCTAAACCTAATATCTGCCAACTTTGACGGACTTTGACGATGAAGCCCACCCTCGCTACAGAATTACTTCCAGCCCAGAAGGCTGAGAGTGCTACGGTTTAGGATTTGGGGTTAGGGTTTATAGGGTTCACGGGTTAGGGTTTGAGGGTTAGGGTTCAAGGTTTAGGTTGAGGGTTGAAGGTTTAGGGCTTAAGTTTTAGGGTTCAGGGTTTAGGGTTTAGGGTTTAAGTTTAAGGTTTAAGGCCTGATACCCCATGAAATCCTGTTCTCTCAGCACTCTAACCCCTTGAAACCAATCTACAATCCCGAACAAGCTCCTTCTAAACCCCTTAACTAGGATGCCCAATATAAAAGGGGCTTCCTTGTTGGTATTGGGTAACTTTATAAGGAACCTAGGACTACAAACAGGTAATAAGGGTACTACTTGGCATCCCAGTTAAGGAACCCGTAAATTACCAGTGATGTTGAACCCAGAGACTCCACATCTCCTTCAATTACTTCCTTAAGGACGAAATGAACCCCAAAAGGGTTTAAGGTTCATATACCATATAGGTATTCATAGTATATGGGTATAGGGCCCCAACTTTTAAGGGTCATTTGGTCCTTCAGGTTCGTACGATGCAAATCACGCGTTCAAGATCCCTATATGGGAGTTTCCGAAATTCGGGGTACCTTATTTTGGGGTCCTTAAAATAAGAATCCTACTATTTGGGGTGCTTTATTTGGGTTCCCTATTGTCGGAAACGGCCATATTAGCTTAAGGCACGTCTTGTCACGAAAGGGTTTGGGAGTCTCTCAAGAACTGAGCCACACCGACCCTAAACCCAAAACCCTAAACTCTAAATCCTAAACCCTGAACCCTAAACCATAATAAACTCTAAACCCTGAGCCCTATTCCCTAATAAACTCTAAACCCTGAGCCCTAAACCCTAAACATGAGCCACACCTTCTCCCTGCTTCTTGGTGACACCTGCGTGCGACACCATCGACCGCTTTGCAGCAGGGCTCAGCTCTTGTAATGCGAGTTCATAGGAGATTACAAGGCTCCCAGAGGGTCCAGGTAGTCCCTGTTATAGTACTTTAGGGCCTTTTTAGGTACCAAAAGCCATACATAAGGACTACTTGGACCCTTTGGGTTATTTTAGTAAAAGAGCTTATAGGGTTTATAGGGCCAGTGCTCTTCTTGGGGGCTTTTGTGGTTCAGATCGGGCGATAGGCTCTGATCGGCTCCAAGTGCACTTGCTTTCTCCTGCGAGCGCTGTCGAAGATGGGGTCCGATGTTGTGGGGGTCCCCAGGATCCTTTAACTAAGCGGTCCCTAAAAGGGTCCCTAAAAGGGCTCCATAAAGGAATCTATAGGAAGGGTTCTTTAAAGGCGGGTCCTTAAAGGGATCTATAGGAAGGGCCACCCTAAGCCCCAAACCCAAAGGCCCTATGCCATACAGACCCTAAAACCGGGTTTCCTTAGTATGCGTCTACTCAGTGGGGGTCATGGTTTAAGGGTTTAGGGTTTGGGATCTATTTTAGTAAAGAGCTCAAAGGGTTTATAGGGCCAGTGCTTGTGGGGTAGGGTAATTACATGGTTTAGGGGTTTGGGGTTTGGGATCTAAAGAGGTTCAAATCTTTAGGGTTTAGTTTGTTTGCAGGCGCGGGCTTCATGTTCGACCAAAACGGCCAGAAAACTAACGTGAGCATCGGCTGACAGGCTTTAGGACTTTGGAATTTTAGGTTTCAGCAGTAATTAAAGGACGCTGCTCTTGGAATCTTAGACAGTGAGATTTTGTCTTAAAGTATCTGCCAAAGCACCGAAATTAAACCCTACACCTTACTATCTGATTTTAGCCAATCTCCGGTGAGGTCCTCACGCATCAAACTCTAGAATGATGCAGCGCGGTGCCATAACGAAAAACAGAACACCCCTAAACCCCTAAACCCTAAGCGGACTTTACATCGATTTGTGCGAGCTTCTTTTCCCGACGGCACAGACGGAAAACTGCCACCTCCTATTCTACTGCTGGAATTTGTGCGACGCCTATGCCAAACACCTTCCTGCCTGAACTTGACAACGGACGATACCTAAAACTGCATGTTTTGGGTTATCCTAAACCTAGATACTAAGCTGCAAGAACAACCTTCAAGGAGGCCCTGCGGGCCCAAACTGTGCATCACTCACCCCAGAGACTTGCGGCAGCTTCCCGAAGGGTCCAGGTAGAACTCACGTATTCCACGACATAATCAAAATATGTATGACATACATGATGACTGATTTCTACTCCCTGTATCCCGAGCAATACTTTGGACCCTTACGGTTTCTGGGCAAGAATCAATGGCAATGCCAGCGGAAGAGCCTCGGCAGTCACTCATGGTACAGCTTTGGAAGTATTCGTGCGGGGTGACATGCTGCAATACTGTATTAGCATGATTTAAAACAGCTGATACAAGATGTTGTCCATCAGGAAATCCTGCGTTGCGTTTGCGCAGATCGCTCGCACGTGCAACACTTCGTATGTACACGGACGACAGCTTATGGTGCCAATACCTCTTCAAGACTTGCGAATTGTATGAAGGATGGCAGGTTTCATGTTAACGAGCTTTTCAGTTTTGGATGTCGCAACACGATCGGGCTGAAATCTTGACCTGGGGGCCTGATTAACACTTGATATCCTTAAGCCCGAAACCCTGAACCTGAAACCTTAAGAGCTTTACCAGGCACAACGGCATGATGCCCACACAGTTTCGTTCCTGATACATGCCTGACAAAAGAAAGCAAGTCAGGGCCTGAGAGTTTTCAAGTTTAACGGTCAGAGCTGTAAGGCTTTTCGGTGCATCACGCATTGGTGAAACCTGCTTGCAGACATGCCTCAAATTTGAACCGAAACCATGAAGAAACGTTCAGGTGGAATCAAATTTCCGGAGTTTTGGGACTTTGGACCTACCATACATGGAACTAAGTACCTGGTGCTCGGCTATGCAGCATAAAATACAACAGTCCTGAAAATTATAATTTTGTTGTCGCTGCTGCTGCTTTGCAGCCCTTCCATGCACGGGCCACCTGAATTTGGGAGCCGGGAAGTGTCAGGATGTACGCAACGTGTATGGTGGATAAGTTGGCGACTTAAAGGATGCTATAGTCTGCGTTCGCCAAGCCGTTCCTAAAAAATAAACCATGACATCATGAAGCCCTGACACCGTCGATCCCCTGTCCTGAAACCCTTGACATGATGCCCTGTCAGAATGGCCACACGAGTTTATTTACTCGATTACCTAGAGCATCTCGGTACTGACCTGATCAGAACCAAGCCTCTAGGGAGAAACTGTTGAATGCAATGTCCGTCCACACGACCTGATCAGAACCAAGCCTCTAGGGAGAAACTGTTGAATGCAATGTCCGTCCACACGGCAGATTTTGAACTTTGCTCTCATTTCGTGTGCTAGACAAATTAAATGTGCTCGTACCAACCCAATTAGATATGACTCTCATCCGTGCTCTGCAGTTGATGACACCGCTACTGCTGACACTCATTTACTCCAAGCCGTGACATGATGCAGCTACTTGCGGCGACATGCTGTCATCCAAGATCATCCAAGCATGGCGCGTGCGGAGAAAAGCGGCGTCAAGGGGGATCTTACGCCATAACAATTAGAATAGGATTTTGCGGGCCCATTATGCGAGAATATGAGAAAAGGAACCCCGAATAGTTGAGGTAATTATTGGTTCAATTACGACACTCCGCCGACAAGGGGGCCTGTTTTTGTATATGAAGGGATCTTAACACTTAAGATATTGACTAACTGAGTTCTCATGCCCCCACTGAGCGGCATCGGGTTTACACAGGGTGGATGGGTGAGATCTTGTGAGTAAATACAAATATAATATAGGGGCCTTAATGGTTAGAATCGGGTTCGGGTGTATATTGTACTATAACCATAATAAGGAACCCCTGCAATAGTATTGGTAATTCTTTAGGCCCTTCTATTCCGGACGGATCAACTTGAAAGAAGCCTCGTCAAGGGCCTGTTTCGAGCCAGGACTTGTTAATTTGCAACAAGAACCCTCGAACCTTCTCTTGAGGCAAACCTAACCTTTAACCCGTTGGTGTTTATATAATCCTACCATCTTCTAGGCCGAAATCAAATTTGCGGGCAATACAAAGGCCTTGATAAGTATTTAAATTTTAATGGTTTCCTGAAGGGTTATAGCGCATATCTAGGGCTACTACAACGGTTCTATGAAGGTTCTATGCTATAGTAGGCTTGGTAAATGGCCTGAGATTTCGGGGTGGGTCGCTTCTACACAAGTTTTGGGGCTCTGAAACGTATTTATGAATAGGTACCTCTTTCGGAACCATAAGGGAAATTAAAAAGTTTCCAAATTGCCACCTAGTTTATCAGGCCCCAAGGCATGAACATCTTCGTAACAAAAGGCATCTATGAAGCTCGAAGGCTCTAGCGGTTTGAGTTGCAGCGTTTGCCGAGGCCCAAACCCCAAACCGGGTTCTTGTTCAGGAACTTCTTCAAGGCACCATCATAAGTAAAGATACAATATGACTTGCAGTAGATCCCCATTACGCTAACTCAAATTCGGCTCCTGAACAAAAACCCAGTTATGAGCCCACTTCATATACGGAATGCCTCGACACTGAACTTGAGAAGAACAGTACTCTATGCTAGGGATCCACAATAACGTACAACACATGCTAGGGATCAGCAATAATGCACAACATATGATACTCCAAGACTCTACATACACCCAACACAACCACAAACAATTAAACATGGAATCAACACAAACTTCAAGGTACATTATATTCTACTTATATATGTAGATGTGTAAACATACATTGATACACATATGCATATATATGTATATATATATATGTATATATATATATGTATACATGTATATGTATGTGGTGCAGAGAGGAATATCGGTACTAAGTATTCCGACCGTATATAAACTCGGAAACGCTCTTGTGCGGGTTGAGCTTTATGGGGTTTTGGGGGCTTCTAGCATGGCTACAAAACAACTACAAGTGAGAACTTGGGTCTGATAGGGTGTACAGACGTTAAGGGTTTAGGGGTTTAGGGCTTTAAGGGTTTAAGGTTTATAGGGGCTTTGGGGTTTAGGATTTAGGGTTTGGAGCAGAGGCCGAAACAAAACAGGCCCCCACCAGAAAAGAAGGCCTAAGCCGCCAAGCCCAAGAGGAACGACAACACCCTTGAGGACGAAATGAACGCTAAAAGGGTTTAAGGTTCATATACCATATGAGGATTCATAGTATATGGGTGTAGGGCCCCTACTTTTAAGGGTCATTTGGCCCTTCAGGACTGCATAATATAGGCTAACATAGGGGTTCCTTTTCAAGGGGGGCCTATAGGCGCTACCATAAGGGGTACTATAAGGGTTCCCTTGAAGGGATCTATAAGGGTACTATAATATAGGGGCCTTAATAGTTCGAATAGGGCTCCTGTTAATTTAAAAGGGGTCCGATCCATAGTAAGGTTCTGTAATATAGGGACCTTTATAGTTCGAATAGGGTTTTGAAGTCCAGCATACTATAATTATAAGAAGGAACCCCCAAAATAGTGTAGGTGATGATTAAGGCCCCTAGTATACCAGACCTACCTTAAGCCGGAAAAACCTGCCTTGTTTTTTTTTGGGGGGAAACCATACCAAGGAACCCTAAAAAGGGCAGGTTATTCAGCGTTAGAAGTAAGTAAAAACATCCATAAGTTTGACCCCCCTGTACAAAGCATTAAGACAGAACAAATGGTCCTCACCCCATCGGCCCGTGCTAATACAAGGGCCTTGAATAATTAAAATAGGGTTTAGGGGCCGATTGCACTACGTATAATTAAGAAGGAACCGCCAGTAGTATGGGTAATGATTTAAGCTAGCATGCCCAGTAACCTAGGAATAAAAAGGGCTCCCTTGTTGGTGTTGGGTAACTTTATTTATAAGGAACCTAGG